CCAGAACCATAAACGGATTTGATAAGTCTTTACCAGCTTCCGTTTGAGCTGGACTAGCTATAGACTTCTTTGGCTCTATAGTACCTGCTTGTGTCTGAACAATTGGATTTGAAATCTTTAAATTAATAATTTCTTGTTCTAATTCAGAAATTTTCTTTTGTAAAACTAGTTTATCTTGTTCTAATTCAGAAATTTTAAAAGATAAACTAGTTTTACAAAAGAAAATTTCTGAATTAGAACAAGATATTATTAATTTAAAGATTTCAAATCCAATTGTTCAGACACAAGCAGGTACTATAGAGCCAAAGAAGTCTATAGCTAGTCCAGCTCAAACGGAAGCTGGTAAAGACTTATCAAATCCGTTTATGGTTCTGGGCTTACCAAAAGTCAACAGACTCAGGAGACTGTTGATTCTCCTATTTTTCAATTTAATCAGACTCAACAGGCTGAAAATCCTGTTACAAAAAATAAAAATATTTCTGAAGACCAGACACAGCAGACTGGAAATTCTGCTACTAGATTAATTAGTCCAATAGGCCTTAAACAGAAAAGCCCAATCAATTTTCCGGAATCATTTCAATCAGCTCAAGATCCAGAACAGATTTCTCAATCAGATATTAGAAGAATCAAAGAAATGTTTGATAAGATTGAAGAAATACAGCAACAAGTTAAACAAAGTACTACAAAGAAAAAGAAAATACAGATTAAAAAGAAAAATAAAGGCAAAAAGAAAATTGAACAAGAAAAAGACTTGGATAATTTTGAAGACAATAATTCAGAAGAAGATGATAATCCAGAAGGCTGTACTGATGGAGGAGACTCTTTAGACAGCATTGGCAGACATAATTTTGAAACAAGATAAGGATTCATTCAGATTTTAGCCTAAAGAAGACATTTGGCAAAAAGTTACGATGATAGACAAGAATTTTCAGACTTGACTCAACCACTTGAAGACTTCTGCCCAGATCTCAAGAAAAGATCAAGAATTATTGTACAAAAGAAGAATCTTTACTGTTTTCTTTTTGAAAAAATTGTAAAAAATCTTACTGTTTGATAAAGTAAGATTTGATAGCATAGCTTTTTACTGTTTTCTTTTTGACGTTTTTAAAAGCAAAGATTCCTTGCTTTTGAAAAACGCGTTTTTTCTTCCTTGTTCTCCTCTATATAAGGAGACCATTCTTTCATTTGTAAACACACACAAGAAAATATAGACAATACAAGTTTTTGTTTCCCTGAAAAATGTTCTAATTTTCTCTCTCTCCCGAAAGGGAAATTCTTAATTGTTCTTATTCTTAGATAGAATAATATCCCACAAAAATATGTTGTTTTAAAAAACTACCGATGGATCATTCCGGTAGGTATGATTTACAGTTATAAGATATGGTGCTAATAGTTAATATTAGTTCCAGATCTTGTAAGGACAATTACAGTCTATAAAATATTTTTATTTTGTAAAAGTTTTATGATTTTTGTAAAGAGTTTTATGCTTTATTCTAAGTATATGATAAGAGCATGTCTTAACTCCAAATTAAAAGTTTAAATTGTTTTTAAAATAAGCCCTGAGTGACCTCTCAAAGCGTAAAGGCCCAGTGAAGAGGCTAGGAGACGCATAGAAGAGGGAAAGG